CAGATAAATAATTTGTGTTTGTCTTTATTGATCCAACGACTCCTACCTTTTCTTACATGCTATTGTTTATATTTTATCGTCCGAATAATAATTACTTGGAAGTTCATATGATGAGTTAAAAACTAAACATGCTAGTCATCTTTCTCATGAACCGATCAGCCAAAAGCAAACTACAGCCATAATTTCTACGAGTTCTAAAAAAGAAGAGTACCTCTGTCATTGAATTTCTTCAAGGTAGGACCTACAAGTAGTATGGATGCCGCTTCCAAATGAGAAATTTTCAGCAGTGGATTTTCCTCAACCCGTAGATGCTGTAAAATTAAAAATAAAAAACACAAAACAAAATTACAAACTACGTATCTGTGTATATGAATTGAACAAATGAAACACCATTTTTGTTATTATATGGCCAAATTCCATTAGCCAAAAAACAAGTATTCAAATTGAACCACTGGTTCATAGTAGAAATTGATGGTTTTAAAATCTTTTATACTAAGTAATCTAGTGCCATGTGTTAACTAAATCAGTTGATCCGACCAACTAATCAGCCAAAAACTAAGAAATGGGAGAAAAAAAAATATATTAGGGAACATAAAGATTGAAACCTCGAGAACTGGTAGATATGGAAAGTCCTTCAGAGTTGTTATCTTGTTCTTACTTGCTGCTAGTACCTGAGGAAATTTTTTTTATGAGATGTCTAAAAACTCTGACTTGTAATAATGTACCGTAAACGACCTCAATTCGGAAACAGAAAATGTACCTGAAGCCGAGGCTGGCTTGCCATTGCAAGTGATTTTAATTTATTTTGAGCAACCGAGAGAAACTAGCATGGGAACAAGAAAGGTGATAGTCGGAAAAAGTCAGGGGTAATCTACAAGAAGAGATATAAGAACTAAACGTTGATAGCAATCATTTGACACATAACTGGAATAAGAGGCTATGATGCTCACCTCTAAGTTTGGAAGTTGAGGCAGACTAGCAAGTGATGTTATCTGATTTCCAGCAAGATAAAGTTGCTGCGCAAGTAGTACAAGATAGAAAATGCTCATCAAATAGCACTCGTGAAGGGAAGAACTAAGGACAGAATGGGAGAGAAAGAAACCTGCAGCATTTTGCAATTCTCAAGTGGTTCGAATCCAGGCCCTTTGAAATCATTAAAACTCAAATCGAGAACCTGAGATTAATGAAAGAAACCAGATCACAGCTAGTGTAAGGGTAAGTATATATTTTCTGAGCACCAAGAACCCTGGGGAAACAAATTTACTGACCTTGACTCGATTCAATATCTCAATACCTTCCAGCGTAGAGAGGAGATTGTCTCTAAGATAGACAAACTGGTAAGGAGTAGAAGTAGAGGGAAATATAATAAGTTGACTGATTGGGGTAAAAACTTCACATATTCAGGAGCTCACTAACAAAGTTAAAATTTCTTCCTTGTCGAATATAAATAACTACTCCACCCTACTTCTATTCAAATCCAAGATTGCCATATCTACATGAGCATCACTAAAGCAATGCGTTTGCACTAGAACATTGTAAAGTTATCATGAAAACATATGTTTACCTCTAAGTTTGGAGACAAATGTAGCCCACCAGAGGTTAGACTGCGAATCCTGTGGCCTCTGAGATCCAATCTCTTAAGCAATTACAGACATACATTCCTTAATCAATAACCACAAGAAGAAAAGAAGGATTGAACCTATTATAAATCTAGCAGGTGCAGAGAGGAAAGTGAGTTCTTACCATATCATCGCCAGCTTTAACCTCCACCTTTGGAAGAATAATAAGTCGTGAATCGCGGCTTTCAGGAGTAGCTGTTTTCTTCCGTCCAGAGAAGTTGGAACTCCGGTCTAGGGGTGTTGACAATGTCTTTGACCTTATACCACCAGTAACAGAAGGCGATGTTCCAGCTGAGGGAGAAGAAACTCTAGAAACTGTCCTCCCACTTGTAAGAGTAGAATGTGCTCTTCCACTACTGGTCCTGCTACCACTACTGTCAACAGATGAAGATGGAGCTCTTTTTGAAGACACAGAGACACTCATGGCTGGTCTAGCAGAAGACTCTGGCTTACTTAAACTAAAACCAGTCGACTTTGGTGAACTCCGACTACCTGGTGATACCGGGATAGACTTCTTACTATCAGGAGGGCTTGCTCTGGATACAGTCTTGGCAGAAAGGGTAGACGCTGAACTCCTTCTCAAATCTGGAAGTGACCGCCTTACGGGATCAGTACGTGAGGCAGTAGTAGTCATTTGTTTAGGCAAAACCTTAGAGGCACCAACAGACTTGTCTGTTACTCCCCCAGTGCTATTTCTCCTGATTGTGACAGGGGTGGAACCCGAGACCCGTAAAGAAGAAGACGCGGTTGGCTTAATCAAATTCGAACTAATGACTGGTTTCTTTTTAGTAGCAGCAGGTCGAGTTGACACTGCAGAAACAATCTCTGGACTTTTGGTTCCATTAGTAGTAGTTGCATTGTCCTCTTTCATCGCCTCTACAGAGCTATCCACAGTTTCTTCCTCAGCCTTAGCTGCTACTTCCTCCATTTTGAAATCAATCCAAACTTATATAACAGAAACAAAAGAATTCCCCTGGAAAATCAAGAAGATCAATCATTAACAGTAAAGGAAACTTTATTCATATCACAAATTTCTCAACTTTTTTATTTATTTTGTTTTGTAAACTAGAGCAACCACCGGGGTATGAAAACTTGTCCGAGTAAAAGACACAATAAAAGGAGAAAATGGCCCACGGACATTGTTAACATCACAAAGTGGAATGGAAACGCACGCGTATGGATTGGTATGGATAGAAACATACAATTAGTATCTACTTTATTGGGACCTCTCGTAGCAGGATTATTAAATTGATTAGAGTACGGAGTCTAGTAGCTTGTCTCAATTCAAGAACAAAGACAAACGGAGTTTTCTGGCTGCTTTCAGCTACACTGTCGGTTACCTTATACAAATTTTTAGTCATTTTGTCAACAAACCAATCCACATATATAAAAAAGCAAACATTTTTTAGACACTAGAAAAAATCGAGTAAATTTCTTTTTTCTTCTTGTGACGGAAACAGACGGAAGAATCAAATTATCGGAAAAAAAGGAAAAATAATGGTTTCTTCAGTCAAGCAAGCAAATGAACTTACCAAAAATTTCAAATTAATAAAAAAAAAAAAAAAAATCGAATTCGAGGAAGAAATATACGAGAAAGGAAAAAAAAAAAATACTTACAGAACTAAAAAAAAAGAAGTCAAGTAACGGAGTGAAATCAGAAGAACCCCATTTTCACCGTTCCGCAACAACTCCGGCGAGAATCCCGGCGACGATTCCGGTCGTCGGGAACTTTTGAAACAGAGCAAACAAGGCGGAAACAGATAAATGTAGAACGAGAAGAAGCAGAGAATCGAAACGGTGGTCGCTGATTATAACTAAGATTATTTCAATTTGTTGAAGCTTTCTTTATTTTAAGAGTGGGAATCAAATAGAGAGAGAGAGAGAGAGAAATTTGTTGAAGCTTTCTTTATTTTAAGAGTGGGAATCAAATAGAGAGAGAGAGAGAGAGAGAGAGAGAGAGAGAGAGAGAGAGAGAGAGAGAGAGAGAGAGAGGAAAATAGCTGGAGTGGAGAGAGGTTGGAGAAAGAAAGAAGAGTAACAGTGTGTAGCGGAAAAAGGAGTGTCAAGTGTGTGTTTAACAAAATATACACCCCTCTATTTCTACTTTCTTCATGTTTTCACCCCTCTTATTTCTTAACGTTTCATCCAAGTACCCTACATTTCAGAAGAAATTGAAGTTAAAATAAACGTAAGTATAATTTGTCCCCGGACTGAAAGTAAATAAAGGTTCGGTGTTGTTGCGTATTAATTTTTTGTTACAGACTCTCTTTTCTAATTTAACTCGGTGAAAACAGACTGATGAAAGTAGGAGACAGTTGTGGATAACTACAATAGTACAGGGGCTATAATGCAAAGTATTATTATCTAGGGTAAAAAGAGGAATATTTTAAAGAAGCTGAATTAGTGAGTGAGAGATAGAGAAAGAGAGAAAAGTTTGAAATAAGAGAAATAAAAATTGGCGGAAACCGTAAAGGCGGAGTAAATGGCAAGTGGACGTTTTTATCGAAAACTGATGAAATTTAATTGTTTGTTTTTAATACTAGTACTGTATTTTTTAACAACAATTCGTCACACAAGCAGTGGTTTTGCCTCAGAAAGTCAAGAAAACTTATATATTTTTTGTGTTAATTCTTAATACTGATCATATTTTCTTCAATTAATTATAAAAATAAGCTCCACCTAAGATTCAATTAATGTCACTATCTTTTTTATAAGTAATCAAAATAATTGCATCCCCCCATTCCGTCTACCCAATTATTAATAGAGATAACTCATTTAAATATAATTATCCCCCCCCTACCTATATAATTTTGATTCACTTTATTATTATTGAAAAGAATTGGAAGAAGAAGAAAAAAAAGCCAGAGTGTAACATAAATAAACCCACATTTGTTGAAAATGATGATCTTTTCAGTTTAAAGTATCCAGAGCAGCCATGTATCCCTACAAATCTTTATTCCGATGAAAGCTTTCATATCTTTGATTCTTATTCAGTATTCATCATTATACACAAACCCAACTATATATCTAAATCCCTTTATACTTTGCATAACATGAATTAGCTGTATTTGACAACATGATGATCTATGCTTTTATCTTCTTTTTTTTTGGTCAAAATGATCTATGCTTTTATCATAAGTTGTACTTCACACATTAACATTTTGTTCGGCTCAATTTGGCTTTTTATTTAAAACACACAATTATTGAAAAATATAATTTCGACTTTTTTTTCTTTGCCTGCATTATTTCGGTTGGGTTCGGTTATTTCTGTTGGGTTTGGTTTATAAGCTCACATTTACTTCGACGCAGCGTTTTAATACATTACGATGGGGGGGGGGGGGGGGGGGGATATTATTATCCAGAAGAAGGATATGTAAGATCTAAACGCCAAACGTCCTGCAATAAAACTGATCAGCGAATCTCGCCCCTTTTTCGTCGTCGTCTTTGCAGCAAAGTAGATTCCGCGGCAAAGACCACACCCGAAAAAATTGAAATCAGGATCAGAAGAAGAGAGAAAAGGGTAGAGGAGAGAAGGAGAGATCTTCATTCTATGGCGGATTTGGACGCAGATAGGCCGCTGAGAAAAATCTCGACCGCTTTCAAGGAACTAGCGGTCACCGTGAACTCGCCGAGTCCGGAGGTTCCTGTGGCGCAGTTCTCTCACGCTTGCTCTCTTGTCTCGCCTCTATTTGGTTGCCTTGGAATAGCTTTCAAGTTTGCGGAGATGGACTATGTTGCCAAGGTATATATGTTTATCGCTCTTCCGATTCAGTTGGGGAATAGTAGTAGATGCCAAATTTACAGAGGAGATTGTAATGATTTTTCATGGTTCCAATCTTTGTGTAGAGAGGTTTTGTATATATTTCCCCCCTGCAAGTACTGATGTGATATACTCTGAGAATGTTGGAAATGATTCTATCTTCTGACTTTTGCTAAATTTGATGAAATGTATGTTTCGTTTGTCTATTTTGGAGGATGATGGTTGGGTAAATGAGATGTTTAAATCGTGAATGTGACTATAGGTTGATGATCTCGTGAGGGCGTCGGGTTCTATATCAACATTAGTGGTAATGATGGACAAAGATATTGAGGCAAACTCTGTAAGAAAAGCTGGTAGTCATACTAGAAACCTTTTGAGGGTAAAGCGTGGTCTTGACATGGTCAGGGTTCTCTTTGAACAGATCATAGCTTCCGAGTAAGTCTTCTTCTCTGCACTTTCTCTCTCTCTCTCTTTTTTGCCTGTTTTGTGAAAATGTTGCTATATGTATAAATTTGATCCCCCGAGCCAGCTTGTACGCTGCTGATTTCAGTAAGGACATTGAAGTTAAAGAAAAATGGAGTCTTTTTTGGTTCAACCGTTCAAGATCAGAAGACTACGTGTATTAATTTGGATATCATTTGCAGAGGGGATAACTCGTTAAAGGATCCAGCAACTAAGTCGTATGCTCAAGTGTTTGCTCCCCACCATGGATGGGCTATTCGGAAAGCTGTTTCTCTAGGGATGTACGCTCTTCCCACAAGGGCTCACCTACTTAATTTGCTCAAAGAGGATGGTGAGTTGATACTCTCGTAACCACTGATTGTATGATGTGTCAGATAAACTATATATGCAGTAGTTTAAGTAGTTAGATTTAGTTTCAAGGTTTTCAAATATCAGTTTCCATGGGATTAGATAAATCAAATCACACAGCAGTCTAGGGATTGTATAACCCTCTTATCGAAAGAGAAAATGCTTTGATATTCAGTATTCACTCTGTTTGATAGATTTCAAAAATCGAGTTTCTTCCTCTTCATCATGTTCTCAAGTCTGCAACTTGCTGACGGGTTTCTTTTCACTTATTTTATGAATCTTTACAGAGGCAGCGGCTAAGATACATATGCAAAGCTATGTCAATTCATCGGGACCATTAATCACGTATCTTGATAATCTATTCCTCTCCAAGCAACTCGGTATCGATTGGTGAAGAGCCTGAAAGACTTATAATTATTTACCACTCTTTAGACAAAAATAACATATGTTCTCATCAATCCATGTAATGTCATAACAAGTGTGACGAAATACATTACATTACGAATAAATTGATTATGTACTTAATATATCGACTTATCTCTAGTTTTAATTACACCACGCACGTCCAAGTTCCAATCTGATCATGTATTATTTTGTCAACGTGGAGGTCAATATCTAAGCGTGAAGAAGTTATTTGAAGTACAATACTGTAATAGAATTAAATTATTTTATTTCAATGCGATCACGTATTTTTCCCAAGTTTATTCACGCTTGATTCATTTTTGTAAATTCTTTTTGTTAAGTAGTAGTAACTTAATTTCAATATAAAAAAAAAAAGGGGAAAATGTCAAGTGAATACCCAATTTCTAAAAATTGGTGGAGAAAAAAATATGGATTTCTTTTTCAATAGAAAATAGAAACACCATATGTATACCTTTAAAAAAATTTCTCTTTTTTTTTTATGATTTCTTTTTGAAAAAGAGATATCTTAAATTTAAGAGAAGTTATTGTGACATTATATATTTGTGTAGAAAAGGAAATACATATTTAAGCAAGATGCCCAATATCATTAAAAATTTAAGGGGTCTCACAATTTAAGAGTGTTTTGGAGAGTGTCAATTCAATAAATTTTTGTAGATATAAGTCAGTAAATGCATGTGTACACATGCGATGATGGTTTGATGATCAAGAAAGTACCGTAAAATGTAAAACTTCCAATGTTCTTTAGTGAAAAAAATGTAAAATTTTTACAAATCTTCCCGGTTTATTTCTGTTGAGCTTTCTAACCACAAAGGTGTCGACTTTCCTTGTGAGAAGAGCCACAACAAACCAAGAACAGAGAAGCGGAACTGAGAGAGAAAGAGATTTGAGAGAAACAGAGGACTTGCAGGTGAGAAAGAAAAACAGAGCACACACAAGCAAGTTTGTTTACCCAGTTCACTCCCAAAAGGGTAGCTACGTCTGGGCCGAGTCGGTGCTCGGAATCCACTAGATACTCACAGAGAATACAATAACAGGAACTACAAGTGATCCACTCTAATGCCCTTCACTAGCACTTAGAGCACACTTCGTAAGAACCCAAAACCAAAGAGAAAAAAAGAACAAGTTTATGCCAATACAAGTTTTCTCTAACTCTCTCTCTGTCGCATCAACCTTAACAACAGCGACCTCTCCTTAATGTTCCTTTTATAGTAACACACATGATACCTCGTGTTCTGACCTAAAGCAGCCTGCCTTGTCACTCGCAGCCAAACCAGCTAGCCTCTGACGCTTCTGCAGACAACAACAAAACTCCCTTCCTCTTTTGTAATCACTAGAAGACAACCTGCAAAACATCACTCTCGCAATGTATCCGTTTCTTCTGTGTGTGGTCCCAAAAGCATATCTAACCATGGTTTAGACTACTCCAACTGTGGTTAGATCTTGAGTATAGCAAAGAGTTTTGTCTGTGCTTAGTCATAGCTTGGACAGCACGGTTTCATCTTCACAATTCTCCACCTGAAACCATGATGACAAAGCTTAAACTTACACAAGTATACAAAAGGAGAGAGTACCTTATGTATCTAGTTGCAGGATTCCTGACTCGGTTTCCCCCCTGAGTTTTACTACTCAGGCCTGACCTGCAACAAGTTCAAAGCGGATTGAAACTTGTCTACAGGCAGTATCTTTGTGAAGATATCAGCAGGATTGGTCTCTGTAGAAATCTTCACAACATCAACTTCACCATTTGCAATAACTTCTCGGATGAAGTGAAGCTTGACATCAATGTGCTTAGTCCTTTCATGGTGCACATTATTCTTGGAGAGTGCTATAGCACTCTGAGAATCGCAAAAGATCTCCACACTCTTTTGCTCATATCCAAACTCTTTCAACAGACCTTTCAGCCAAATTGACTCCTTGACAGCTTCTGTAAGGGACATATATTCTGCTTCTGTAGTGGAAATAGACACAACTCTTTGTAATCCAGACTTCCAACTGATGGTGTTCTTTCCCAGGGTGAATACCAAACCAGTGGTAGATCTTCTCTTGTCAT